TCAAGTCATGATTATTGTTCATAATAAAAGATTAAAATTGCGTTGTTTTTTTATTTATAATAATAATAGCTTGTTGTTGAAACCATCAATGCAGAAAGATTAATATTTAATTTGATTCAATTGAAATAATAAATTCCCAAATTTTGTCAACCAATTGATTTGTATACATAATTCCCATATGAGTACCTTTTAATGATGTTTCTAACTTAACAATTGTTTTTTTATCTTTTAAAATTTTATAATAATTTTTTGATTGACTCAAATCCACTAATTCATCTTCTAATGAATGAATAATTAAATGAGGTGGTAGTGATTTATTATTGTCATTATCATTATTTGTTGATAAAATGTGTTGGGGTGAAGCTGATTGATGAATAAGTTCATATTCACCAAATGGTAATCTAATAAATTCAATATATTTAGGCCAAGTCTTCAATAATAATGGAATATCAAAAATTCCCTCAATACAAACAACTCCTACAATAGATTTTATCAATTTATTTAATTCCTCCCCTTTCCCCTCTTTCCTTTCCTCTTGATGTTGATTAAATATATTGCCAAAATATTTTTCAGAAAGTAAAGCCAAATGTGTAGCAATAAAAGCCCCACAACTTTGTCCAATTAAATAAATCCTATCATGATTATAACCAAATTTATCAGAATTTTGATAGACCCAATAAATAGCTTTGGCAACATCTTCAATATGAATAGGATGTTTTATATTTGGTGAAATGTTTGCAATTGTTAATTGATAATTAACATTAACAACCACATAATTACTAATTTTTGTTAATTTTTCACAAAAACTTTCTAATTCTGATTTATCTCCAGAACGCCATGCTCCTCCATGGATTATAATAATAACAGGTGGTCTATTATTGACTCGTGATGGTGATGGTGATGATGATGGTATTAATGGTAAAAAGATATCAAGTGTTTGTTGTTGTGGATTAGTTGATTGTTCTTTTTTTTCTTCTATATATGAAATATTTTTTTTAATAATACAAGTCATTTTTTTTTTTAATGCTCAATTCCAAAAATAAATTTTATTGGCATACTGTAACAAAACCAGGCAAAGCGAACATTTGTATTACCAAGAATTTCAGGGTTGTTTAACACCACAATTTAATTGAGGTCTTCCATGGTTTAGCTATCATTGGACATTTTTTTTTAGTAAAATTTCGTGTTCGCAAATATATAAAAAATTTATTTTTGTAATACTAATTAATGTGAATATACACCAATAATTTAAAAAAAATTTTTTGCTCTGATTTTATAGATTAAAAAACTCAATCATTCTAATGGGCAATGTATCGCGCATTTTATGCATTCAGTTTGTTTCCTATATATAATATTAAAAATAAAAAAAAGTTATTGTATTAAAATATTTAAAATATAATTATATTTTATATATCATATATACCCCATCTTTATCGCCCGGTATCCATAATGGTGATAGCTAAGGTTTCCGGCCGAAGCTCTCTTATTAGTAGCCGAAATTGCCAAAACACATTGGGCTTTGAGAAAACAGTTTGGACCGGAAACCTTAGATATGTGTTTCGGTATCAATACTGGTCCACTAGTATTATTAACAGCGAGATCATTGCCAGGAATGTGAGAGGGGGTATGTGATTCGGTATCCAATACTGGTTCAGGAATGTGAGAGGAGGTGGAGTTTCCAGTATTTTCGTACTCTGACAACCAACCTATATAATTAATATAACCATTAGCATTATTTTTCTATTAGTATTAGTAATTGCCCAAAGATCCAGGAATTAGACAAATTTCCCCGCTAGGGGAAATTTCGTGTGATTTCGGATTTTCGGGTAATTACAGTGTAATTCCTCGATTCACAGTGTCACCAATCAGGATTTTCGTGTAATACATATGTAAATTCAAAAAATAAAAATAAAAAGCATATTTTCAATTTCTTTAATTTCAAAAAATGGATCACCAATTTGATTTATATTTTATAACAATAAAAAAAACTTTTTTTGTAAATATAAACACAGGAGACGGATTCCGACGAAGTACTACCTAAAAAATAGTAACTTATATTATATTCGTGTTGGTTCATAATTTATTATTTATTATCATTTGTAACTTTTTTATTTAAATTAAAATTTTTTTTCAAACAATCAAGCGAACCTTTAAAAGAAATCGGTAATCACCCATCTATAAGGAAAACCTTAGGTTCAAAAATTAGTGAAAAAATAAATAATGATGTTTTAAAGAAACCTTTCAAACTTCCAACCAAAAAAAAGTCGGGTAGTGATGAGTTATTTATTGAAGAAAATTTAAATGATGATGATTCTATGCCAAATATCATCATAAAAGGTGATAATAAATGTCAATATAAATTATAACAATGCTTTGTAATAATGTGTTTATATATTCATCGATGCTGTATTGTATATTTTATAAATAAATGGCGATTCTATTTGACATTATGTGTGTAAATTCATGCGCAACGTACTAATGTTAATACACAATATATTAAATAAATATTCTAAATACTCATTCTCAATATTCCTCTTCCAATATATTAAATAAATTATTTTATGATTATGTATAAATTCATTATAACGCGTACATACAAATCGGAATTTTTTATTTTTTGAATTTATTACACGAAAATCCTGATTGGTGACACATAGTGAAACGGGGAATTATTTGTGTGTGTAGCTAACTTCAAAGTCAAAAATCCGAAATGACATTTACATTATAAAATGTAATAATAAAAAAATGGTAAAAAAGAAGAAAAAATAAGTAATTTAATCAAGTAAAAGTCCTAATTCAAATTATAACATTTGTAAACTTCTCATGATAATTATTCTTCTTGGATCATTGCAATATATATACTATGATATAACAATTATTTATTCATCCTCGGGACACCCATTTTTACATAGTTTGGAACTTTTGATAATCCAATTTTATCATTATCATTATTGCTGCTTGTATCAAGCGTTTTTGCTTGTATCAAACGTTTCTACTTGTATCAAGTGTTCCCTACTTACATCAAGTGGTTTTACTTACGTCAAGGGATTTTACTTTAGTCAAATCGTCAAAATGACTCTGGTGAGAAACTACCTTTAGTCAATACTTTAGTTACGTCGATGACTAAAGTCAAAAGTTTCGTCATACTTCATTGTGTATAGACCAGTGGGTATGATTTTATTGATACATCATGAACCGGTTTATACCAGGTGCTTACCCTGCAGGGCAGTGAGATTCAGGATATATTTATTATTATATATTTAGGGTGTATATAAATATATGCTTGATTTGTAACTTTCAATTTGATGAAATCTACAGCGGTAGCGTTGGATATTGATAATACCTAATACTAATATTAGTACTAATACTAGATGAATGCTTTATGACAGTGACAAAGTCACTGATGTTACTTGTTATTTACTGTTTTAAAGTTCTATTCAAATAAAGGTTATTATTTGAATTATTTTGTAATTGATTGATTGAATTACAAATAGGAATTTTATAAGAAAAATTTCTGGTCTTCGGCAAAGTTGAATGGTTTTAATATGATTTTTGTGTTACTAAAGGATGATGTGAAGAAGATTTGCTATACCGAAATTATAAAAGATTTCTAGTAGCTCTCATTGTATATATAAATATAAATATAATAATAAATATAATATAATAAATATTTGATGATTATTTTGAGATAGCTTGGATCAAATGCCATTGCCTAAATTTCACAAGCAGATGGAGGTTTAAAACATATGTATTTGGAGATTGTTAATATGTAAAGCTCAACATATAAAATAAAAAGTAATAATTTTTTGAAGTTATTCCCAAATTTCCCTCCTCAAAAAAAGGTAGCCAGCTCATGAGCATAACCAAGTCTTTATCAATATCATTCATCGTCTAAAAAAAATTCGATAAATATGGAAAGTTACATGCATCAAAACTATTAGCTACAAATTTATTATACGTTAATTAAGTTAGTATATGATCTTAAATTCAATGCAAAGTTAACCTAATTTGCATCGAGATAGTATTTATAAAACTTAGTTTTTAAAAATGTCATTATAACAAGATTGCCACTATAAATTATATGTTTGAATTAAAAATGTCGCTGATTTGCTATTGATAATGTTAACAAATTACTAAAGATAAATTCTATTTATTTTATGATAAAATTATTAAAATCCTGAAAAATTCAATGTAAAATTAGTAAATTTAATTTGCATCGAGATGGTATTCATAAACTTAATCATATTATTGTATGTTGGAATTAAAAAATGTTTCTTTGTTATTGTTATTTTGCATTTGTTTCATATTTTCATTCTTCTTGCGACAAAAATACAGTAAAATCAAACAAGTTCTCATATAATTATGCATCTGTTTGTTCATTGTTGAAATCCTCCTCGAAGATTTTCACCATTATTTAAATTCGTAGTAATGTTAAATTATGAGGATTGAAGTACAGCATTAGTCTTATTGATGATTTTGTTGTCGTAATTAATAGGAAGAGTAAGATCAAACAAAATAGAACACGGAAGAAAAGAAGTGGAAGGTAATGAGTGTGTATTATCATTTGCGCAAGAAGAAGAAAAAGAACAAGAAGGGTACGAATAAAGTGGTGTTGAAATTACACAATCGTTATTATTATTATTATCTTCTTGTTTTTGTAGTAATTGATAAAGACGAGCTCGTATTATAGTTCGTGTACAAAAAAGTAGAAGAGGAAGAAGAAGAATATGATGATGAAATTACATAATCGATATTATTATTATTATCTATTTGTTTTTGTTGTGGCTCTGGTTGTTGATAAGATGAGCTTAGATTATCATTTGCACAAGGAAAAGAGAAAAAATAAGAGAAAGAAGCAGAATATGGATGAATTTGTACAATATTTATCATTGGTTTATAAGAATTTTCTTTTTGTGGTTCTGGTTGTTGGGTAAAAAATTCTCCCGTCCTTTTTACTCATAGGAGATTTATGACTTGTAATATAATTTTTGCGGTATAAGAAAAAAGTGTTTTGGGATTTTGGGATACCTATACAATCAACATTATTGGAATTACCCGAAATAAATTCTACAATGAAGATTGAATATGAGGCGAGTTCATTATCTTTAAGTTGTGCTTTATCAACATAGAATAATATTTCATCCATATACATTAGTAAAATATATTATTGTTTTTGTTTAAAATAGTATATTTTTTTGCAATATTTGCAAAATTAATTATTGAAAAACAGTTTATTATAATAAAATTTTTTATCGAGTATTTATAACTTGCTCTATTACTATAAACGAAAACAAAAATATTATTCTTATTATTTTTAATCGAAAAGAAAAAAATTCATGATAAATAAAATAACAAATTCTCAATCAATAAAGTGTGTGTATTTTATATCAAGCTTGGGTGACGAAAAATAAATAGGATTTCTGCACTTTGAGTAATTTGACGAAAGTGACGAAACCAATTATTTAGTAGATTTAAATTATGGAGTAAATAACATCCATGATATCAAATTCTAATTTACCAATTCACAAATTCACCCAACTCACCGATTCCCTTCTCAATCATCATCATGTAAAATGAATTTGCAAACGTTAAAATTAGATAATATACCTGAAAGTTCATTTAACAACAATCAAGAATTAGCTACAGGACATCTTGTGCCTGATGTATGGTTACACTTCATTAAAATAGTAAATGAAGAAGCATTTCAACAATCGGGATTATCAGATGATTCTAAGGGTAAAGTCAAAAGTCAAATTATGATAAAGATGACAAAAATATAAAATTCAATTTTATTTAGATTTAATTAAAACAAAAATTTAATTTTAAACATTTTTTTTTTTTGTGCGGAATTGCTTGCTTCACATCTATTGCTGCGTTTCGCACATTTCGTCACATGTTGTCCGAAATGATGTTATATTAAAAGTTTCTTTAAATTTATTTGTAAACTTTACTTTATACAAAGAAATGATATTTATAAAACGTACCCTGATTATCTTGGTTTTGAGCTACTTTTACCAAACCCGTATACAAAATGAACTCATTTTATGTGATTATAATCACACGTTAAAAAATATATTTTATGTTACATTACATTTTTTTCTTCGCACTGGAGAATAATATTAGTATATTAATATTACTTTCAGAAATTTTTCGATAAATTTAAATAGATATTTTACGCCCTGATTACAGTACTAGCGAGTATCTGGATATATCTAGCATTTCTATTATGAGTATAAACATAACTCGTATTCATATTTCTAATTATGCATTGTTGGATAACGTTACATTTTTAGATTATTGGATAATATAATTCTCCAAGAAGTATAAATATGCTTGAAAAATCCGTTACATGACTCATTTTCACCGATAATAAAAATAGTCTTTTGACTGTAATAAATAAACGAACTAGTGTGATTGGTTCTTAATCCTTTCTAATGATTAATGGTTTGGCCAACCTTTAATTATTAGTTAGGACCCTTTTAATTTTACTATATTGCTTGTAGTATAGTTGTATATATTTTATTTCATTATTTTATTTTAGTTAGAAAAGCAGCCATCAAAGGTAGCCGGTAAAACAGTTATCAAGAGGCTTACAAGTAGTTATCAAGGGAATAACAAGCAGTTATCAAGATGGATTACAAGCAATCATCAAGAAGATAATCCAAATTATAGCGGTTAGTAGCTGATAACTAACTAGACATAGCTAAAGGCAACTAATTAAGAAACTCAGTCGCACGCTTGCACTTTTACTATTTTGCATTTGCTTCATTTTTTTGTAACAAATACCAATTAGTCTCATTTAATTGTGCATTTGTTCCGCAGTTTGTAAATATTGTTGAAATCCTTCTAGGGATGTTTACCATTACTTAAATTGGTCTGATTGGGGTAGAATATTAGTCTTATTGATGATGCTGTTATAATTAATAAGAAGAGGCGAAGTAGAACATGAAAGAAAGATGTGAAAATAAAGAGCTTGGATTATCACTTGTACAAGGAAAAAAGAAAAAGAAGGATACGGATAAGTGGTGTTAAAACCGCACAATCGTTATTATTGTCTTCTTGTTTTTGTAGTAGATCTGATTGTTGATAAGATGAGCTTATATTATAGTTTGTGTAAAAAAATAGTAGAAGAGGAGGAGGAAGAAGGTGGATGATGAAACTGCATAATCTTCATCGCTATTATTATTATATATTTTTTTTTTGTTGTGGCTCTAGTTGCCAATAAGACGAGCTTGGATTATTATTTGTGCAAGGAAACGAGGAAAAAGAGTAACATGGAGAAGATAGTGATATAGCTACATAATGACTAGTATTGATTTTATAAAAATTATCTTTTGCTTTGTTGTTCTAATTATCAAATCATAAACAAGACAAAGTAGAATATCGAAGAAGAGAGGTGGAAGATAATGAACTTGTATTATCATTTGTACAAGAAAAACTAGCAGGAGAAGAAGAATTGTACAATAGTTATTATTGGTTTTATAAGAATTTTCTTTTGCGGTTTTGGTCATTGAGAAATAAAAATCTATTTTCTGGTAGTTGATTTCCTGAAATATTCCCTGAAATGATACTTTCATAAGTTATTGAAGAGGTTGTTTCCTAACACTTTAAATTTTTACTTCCTCCAATTCATTATTCTAGGCACCACTGGTTCCCTTTGAAAGAAATTTCTTTTTACTCCTAAAAGATTTATGTTTTGCATTATAATTTTTGCGGTATAAAAAAGAGACTTGAGATTTTGATTGGAATTAGGTGAAATAAATTTTGTGATTTGTTGGTGGAGATTTAAAGAAAAGGTGAGTCTGGTTATTATCAAGTTTGTACTTTACCAAAATATAATGGTATTTCATCATGTGTATTGTATAAAAAACATTATATTAAATAATAAAACTTTATTTGACTGCTCGAATTTTTAAAATTTGAGATATTTGGATAATTATTTATTTTTAAAAAAATTAATTACCAGGATTTATTAAGATGATAATAAAAACAAACATTCGCAAGAAAAAACTATATTTAAAATATTAAAGGCTCAAATTTGTTTTTTTTCAAAAAAAAAATCAAGTAATGAGGGTGTGGATAAAGAGGTTCGGGAATTATTTTACCCTTGCTGATCATAGAAAATCCAGGGCTGGCAGCGTAAAGGGGGTTAAAAACCTAATTTAGTAACAATCATCTTGACTAAACTTGACTAAACTTGACTTAACATATGACTAGTCAGTTTAGCCAATGCTCATTTGAGTTACGCAGCCAGCCCTGAGAAAATCACATGGCACACAGTCAATGATTGAAATGGTCAAACAATAATAAAAAAGAAAATTCGAATTCTAAATATTTATAAAAAGGCGTACAAATTAAAACAGTAGACGTTAAATTTTTAGATTCGGTATTCGCCGGTTGTTGACTTTCATTTCGTCATTAATTTTTTCATTTAAATGAAAAAATATTGAAAAGGATGATTACAAAGAATAAAAAAAAAAAAACAATACCATAATTTAAATATAAAATGCTTGAAAAAGCACGCGCTAATGGAAGCCAATAATGTTCAATTTAAATTAGAAAGCATTCATAATTTTTTTATTGAATAAAGGTTTTTTTGGAATTCCCGTGTAATATTATCATCAACATTATGAAATGTTTTTATCATGTATACGAAGGCAAACTTTGAATCTATTTAATTTGATCATTGGTGCGCACTTTTCAATTCTCTAAAAAAAGTAAATACATTTATGCATAATAATGGCAACAATATCATTAAAATTCAGTTTCGGTATGAGAAATTGATGACCATGCATGCCAGGAAATACCGCCAAAGTCCGAAAATTCTTTTTGTCTAATTATTGTATTTGACATTTTATTCTATCATTCTATTTTATCATTCTAAAATAAAGTAAATCTCATAGTATCATTACGTAGCATTGTACAAATTGATACGGTCTCTAGTTTCTGTCAAACGGAACAACCAATTCTACTTTTTTATTACAGTAGAATTGTTCAATGACAGATAAATCAATCAATTATTTAATTGCCAATCTGTAAATGAATCCGAGAGACCCGCAAAACTGTGTTTTCTACATAGAAAAGTCTTTATTCATCACACAAACCATGCTAATTTTTAGATAAAATTATTTTATTCATATATAAAGTAATCCCTGTGGCACAAAAGAATAACAATTTTTTGTCAAGTGACTTTGTCACTCATGAAATTTTTTCTATTAATTAAAAACAGAACGTATCACAATAATCAATCCCACGATTATACATACAAATCATACAAATCGGATTGTAATCAGCGAGTGCCGATATTAAAATAAAAAAGAAGTTTAAAATTTATATTGAACTTTGAGCTATTATACATGTAAACTCGGTCATTTATCGTACAAGACTAATTTTCTCTCTGGAAGATGTCACTCAGATTAAATAATTCCTTATTTAAATTATTCAATTTTGTAAATATCGATTGCGGGAATGAAAGATCTGCATCTTTAATAGTAAAAAGAATCCAGACTTACAACAACCATTTGTTGATAAAAATTTGCTTGGTTTGTGCGACAAGGCATGAATTGTTAACGTATGCAATGCAAAGCACTCTTTGACATTTCTATTTATGTATTGAAAAATAAATAAATCAATGACGAATATATTATAAGTTTCATTTAATAAATCAATGATAAATATATCATAAATTTTATTGTATAGTAATTAGTATTTAATGTTGCATGTTTTTTGTTTTATTTTTTTTTTTTTTCGATTATTATTTAATATAAAAAATTTGTTTTATATTTTTTCTAAAATTTAAGGAATAGCAATTATCGAATCGAATTGTCGATTTAAAAATATAATAATAGCCATAATATATTTTACATAACGCATATGGATCCTGGAATATTATTATATAGACCGCAACTTGACGATAATGAATTTCATCTTCTTTCCAATCCTCCTTGTAAACTCTACTCGCGTATCACAGAATTTATTTCAGCTAACCCCAATAATGTTGATTATATAGGTATCACAAAATCTCCAAACTCTTTTTTCTTTTACCGCAAAAATTATATCGCAAAACATAAATCTTCTAGGAGTAAAAAGGACGGGAAAATTCTTTCAAAGGAAGCCGGCGATGCCTGGAATAATGAATCCGACGAAGTAAAAAGTTATTTTAAAGCATTAGCAAAGTTGGCTCGTGAAAAAAATAAATCAACTTATGATAAAAAAGGCAACATTTCGGGTAATAAACTACCAAAAGAATATATTTTTATTGCTCAACATCCAGAACTACAACAAGAACAAAAAGAAAAAAATAACAATGATGATGATAATAATCCTTCTTTGTCCACTTTTTTTTACATGAACGATAATCCTAACTCGTCTTATCAACAACCAGAGCCGCAACAAAAACAAATAAATAATAATTACAATATCGATTCTGCAGTTTCGTCATCACCCTATTTTTCTTTCTCCTCTAACACAAACGATAATGTATGCTCGTCTTATCAACAACAACTAGAACTACTACAAAAACAAATGGATAATTTTTATAAAAACAATATTAACGATTGTGCAGTTTCATCATCATCCTATTCATGCTCTACTTTTTCTTCCACATTTAATAATACAACCTCGCTTCATTTTGTAGATAAACAATCAGAGCTACAACTACAACAAAAAGATCCTTACACAAGTAATAGTACAAACTCGCCTCGTTTTATGACTCAGCAACCAGAACCACAACGCAAACAAAAAGATAATCTTCATAAAAACAATAATAACGATTATGCACATTCATTATTCTTTCCATATCCTACTTTTTCTTGCACAAACGATAATACTACCTCGCTTCATTTTATGGCTCAATTACAAGAGGATAATTTTTATAACGATCGTGTAGTTTCATTATCATCATTTTGTCCATATTCTACTTTTTTTTGCACAAGTGATAATACAAGCTCGCCTCATTTTATGTCTCAACAACTACAACAAAAAGATAATCTTCATAAAAACAATAATAACGATCGTGCAGTTTCGTCATCATCAATTTATCCATATCCTATTTGTCCTTACACAAGTAATAGTACAAGCTCGCCTCATTTTATGACTCAACAACTAGAACCACTACGCAAACAAAAAGATAATCTTTATAAAAACAATAATAACTATTGTGCACATTCATTATCCTATTCATATCCTACTTTTTCTCGCACAAACGATAATACAACCTCGCTTCATTTTATGTTCCAACAACCAGAACCACAACAAAATCTAAAAGAAAATAATAACGATTATGCAGTTTCATCGTCATCACCTCATTCACTTTCCACTTTTTCTTGCACAATTGATGTTGCAAACTCGTCTCATTTATGACTCAACTACAACCATGATATAGAGTTTGGAACCGGCCTAACCGGTTAAAAACAGTTAAGTATATAAATTTTTTTTTAAAAAAATTATTTATTTTCGAAAAATAAAATCTAAATATGAAGTTTTAACTTCCCTTATATCTATTTATAATAAACATGTGATTTGTACTATTTAAGAAATAAACCCTTTTTTTTCATTTTAATTCTTTACGCGTGTAATGGAAGCGTCTCACAATAGTGAAGGTTGAGAATTCTTGTCATTATTAATCAAAGAATGTATATATATTGTTTTATTGCAAGTTTGTTTCATCGGAAATATTTGTATTTGTTCATTTGAACCAGAAGAAACAACACCTAACAAAACCTCAAAAAAAATTTTTTTTGATGCTAAAGAAAGAGTTGGAAATAATGGTTTACTATTGCTAGTGATGTGCTGTGCATAGTATGTTACGCATAAGGGTTTAGCTATGTTTTTTAGACATTTATTTATTAACAAACATTTCTAAGAAAAAAAAATATTAAGGAATATGCCATTTGCTTTTTTATTATTATGTACGCATTTATGATATTTCCCTCCATATAATGTATATACACACTATGCGCGAAAAAAAATCAGGGTTATTGTGAATGGCACATCTCTAACTATTGCTATATTATTATCTTTTATTTTTTTCTTTTAAGCAAATATGTGATTTTTTTTTGTCGTTCTAAATAATGCAGATGGACCAATCTCGACTAAGTGTCTATGTCGCTGAATTCTGCAGTAAAATTTCTGACATAAAATAAATGTTAAGAGAGTTTTTTTATCATCGAATTAATTTAGCCGGATAAGCCGTTTAAAAATTCCTTAGTTATTAGTGTTAGTATTAGCCGATAATTTTTTAGCCATCTCGCAAAAAAGAAAAGAAAATTATAAAAAATAGATTTATTTTTTTATAATAAAATTCACTAATAAAGCCTTCTCTAAAAAAATGTCATTACATATCTATTTATCAATTTAAAAAATATTTATTATTGCTATTTTACATCTGTTTCATGTTTTCATAAGAATAAAATCAATAAATGTATTTTAATCATCATTAATATTAAAAACAAAGATCAGCCAGTCATCGTATCGTAATCAGCATTAGTATTAAAATCGGACGAAGCAGAGCGTGGATAAGGCGATGATGAAACTGCGCAGTTGTTATTATTGTTTTCACAGAAGTTATCTTTTTGCTTTGTTGTGATTCTGGTTGTTGGGCCATAAAATATGACAAAAGGAAGGAGAAGAGTGTGAATGATGAAAATGCACAATCGTTATTATTGTTTTTATAAAACTATCTTTTTGTTTTCGTACAATTTTGCCACATTTTATGACTCGACAATTAGAACCACAACGAAAACAAAAAGATAATCTTCATAAAAACAATAATAAGGATTGTTCAATTTCATCATAAGAATGTGATGATGAAACTGTAAAATCATTATTATTATCATTATCTATTTGTTTTGGTTGTGGCGAGCAATGAAAATACAATTTTTTGGTCGATTTTCATAAGTTTTTGAAGAGCTAGTTTTGCTAAAACTCCAAAGTGATTTTTTCACTTCGTCTGTTTCATTATTCCGGACATCATTGGCTTCCTTTCTAACTCCCAAGAGGTTTGTGTTATAACAGAAAAGCGTTTGAGATTTTGTGATATCTATAGAATCAACTTTAATAAGATTTGGTAAAATAACTCAGTGATTTGCGAGTAGCGTTTACAAGGAGGATTGTGAACCTCGTCATCGTCAAGTTGTGCTCTATCAGCATATAATTATATTTCAGTATCCATATACGTTATGTAAAAGATATTAATTATTTAATAATAAAATTTTATTTAATAATTTGACTTGGATATTTACGATAATTATTATTTTTAAATCTTGAAACAAAAATTAAATGAAGGCGTATTTATATAAAAAATTCTTGCATAAACAATAAATATAAACATTACCATCTATTATTCTAAATTAATTTGCACAAATTAACGAGGGTGTGAAGACATTCGATTATAAAATTTTACTATATATTAATATGTTTTACAACCTCCTACAGATCGGCGGGAAATGTCCTGTGACTGTTGATGAAAATTTAATTTGTTTTATTTGGATTATTGTTTAACAAATTAACAAAAAAATGGTAGAGATAAAATATGGGAAAGAAAAATTTTCAAAAATTCGTTAATTCGAGATTTAATTAGTACATATGTTATATCGAGAAAATTTACAATGTGGCAGCCTCAATCCGTTAAATCAAGATTTTTATTAGACATCCGCTAAATCGAAATTCACTGTATATCACAAACAAAAAAATAACCTATTTAAAGAAGTGGTGCCATGTTATAATGACCCGAGCCAAACTTTTGATATTAATATGTTTCATTTTATTTGCAAATATCGCATATTCAGAAACAATAAAAATTATTTTAAAAAAAATTGAGAAAAACAATGTATCTCAATATTTATCCTCAAAAAAATTTCCTGATGTCTTGTATGAATTTTTCCTGGGAAAATTTTTTTTTTTACATATATGAATTTATTGAAAAATGAAAAAAAGATTTTGAAATATAAATTTATAATCTTATTATTAATATTTTAACCTTCAAGTGAAATAAAACAAAATAAAAATGTATATGGTCAAATTGTATATAATATTAATACAAATATATAAAATAAAATAAAAATTTAATAATTATGTTATTATAATAGTCCTAACAGTTGATTAACAATATCTAGAAGTTGCTGACGGCTAATTACTATTTGATCATTTTGATAAGTATTAGTAATTTGAGAGCCTTGATAAGCAGTGCTCACGTTGTTGTAATTGTTATTATTGGCATCTGTTAGAATCATACTATTTTGACCGACAGAAATATTGTTAAAAGTATCTTGTTGATTGAAATTATTATAAACAAAGCTTTCGTGAATGAAGTCAGTAAACTCGACGTTTTGATTATTTTGAATAGAAGCCGAACCGGTAAAATTTGTTTGTCCATTTGGATGAGAAACAAGATTAAAATTTTGGTTATTGACACCTATTTGAACCATGCTGTTTGGACCAACAGAATTGCTGTTAAAAGTGTTTTGTTGATTGAGATTGTCATGAGCTAAGTTTCCATGGGTAAAGTCAGCAAACTCGGCATTTTGATTGTTTTGAATAGGAGCCGAGCCGGTAAAATTTGTTTCTCCGTTTGAATGAAGAACACGATTGGGGCCTTGGTTATTAGTGCCATTAATCAAATCATTATTGTCATAACTTTGATAATCCATTTTTAATTTTTTAAATTTTTTTTAGTAACTTTTTTTAAATATTGATTTTTGTTTATTTTCAGGTGCTTTTATAGCGATTTAGACCAGTGTATAAAATTCAATGCGGGTGTAACATCGTACATTAGCAGTTTTCTGTAAATAGTAATAGTTTACAAATTTGTAGAAGTCGGCATAGTTACACACTGAAATTTACTGATTTAGACTATCATATAAAAATTTTTTTACTTTAACATCTAATTAAACAATATAAATTATTTTTGTGTTATTCTTTTCTGATGTTTGTGGTTATTATTATCATTCTTTATCATTATCAAGATTAGTCGTAAATAAAATCTTATATTCCACACATTTTATGGTGTCAGGGTTTGTTTTATTTGAATTATTTGTGTAGAATATTATAATGCGAGTAATATCAACATATTATTATTTTGTGAATTGTGTGTGAATCGCAAATTAATATGCTTTTAATGATTAAATCAATCGGGGAATTTAGATTGATATTTTGTAGAGATAATGGTGGAATTGTGTTTTTTTAAAATAAAATACGACAGTTTAAAAATAAAAAATTTGATAATTATTAAATAAATATCCAAAAACAATAAAACTATTTCTCACGTCAATAATTGCTCACGCACAAACCAATTCTTTCTTTTAAATTAGCATGATAATAATAACATACAATAACATATGCATAAACACAAAATCAAATTATACGAATGGGAAAAACCTTGAACGAAAGAAAATAATCAATTTTAATTTAATTTTTAAGTTACACGGAATATAATGTATGCATAAACACAAAATCAAATTATACGAATGGGAAAAACCTTGAACGAAAGAAAATAATCAAAATTTAAATTTAATTTTTGAAATTAATTAATTAACACAAAAAAAAGATTTAACATTTGCCGTGTCACGATCTCCTTCCAAAACTCGCAAGTCGTGCGACTTCCGTGCAGTTTTCTCGCCGATTGTTATTTCTCTTAAAAAAAAGGTTGAAGATGATATCAGTCATGAAAAAATTTTAAAAAGTAACATTGATATAATGGAACTTGATGTAAATATTGATTCATTTAATGGTTTATATTTTTAATCTGATAATAAAATCAATTGATTTATTTGTTATTTTTATTTATTTCAGGCTGAAAAGGTGTCATATTGGCCATGGCTCTTTCAAAAGAAAAGCATTCGCTCCAATAGAAAATGTTGTAAATAATGTGTCATTATCATCAGCTGCAACTCAACTCAAGTGGTACTGCAACTTAGATTAAAGCATATAATAGAAAGATATGTACCAGATCATTTGAACTATGATGATCCAATAGTTTCTTTAAATGTTGACACATCAAATCCTCACCCATGGCTTAGAAATAACTTTTCAAATGAAGAATGGAAAAAAATTTCGGATAAGTCAAGTTCAAAAATAAACGATGTTGGTAATGCAAACTTTATTGGTGAAAATCATATTAATGACCTAAGAAACCATTTGTGAGTATTTATGTATCTTTTGCTATAAAATCTTCATTGCTAATAAATTACTCTAGTTATTTTATTCACAAAAATTCGACTTACACTAAAAAGGATAAGTTTATAAGCGAAGGCACATGGCGAAGCCATTTCACCACAATTCCATTCAATATTGTTACTCGTGATGTTGGAAATTTACAACTAATAATGTATGTAAATATATAAATTGGGAATTCCTGCAACCAAGATTTAAAAATTTTTTTTTACATAGCAATTACTTGCAGGAAATGCTAATCAAAAAAAGTATTACGTTTACCATAATCCTGTATACTTTTATATGTCTACCTCACCTGTGTGTACATTTATTTTCATTGTTGCGAGAGGATTAGTATTGGGTCCAAGAGAAGAAAATTAGAAAGTATTAGTGATAATGACAGTGAAGAAAAGGTGAGTATAAGATCATAGAAAATATTACTTTGCATAAACATTTTTATTTACAGAAGAATAAACATGGGGAAAAGGCTGATATAACTATTCTAACAAAAAAAAGTATCATGATCCAAAATTAGTAAAATTCGAAATTTATTTCAGTGAAATTTGTCTTTCACCTTGGATAAAACTGCTGCCAGAAATAAACTCAGATAAAAATAAAATGATGAGGATGACGAAAGACAGTTATGACCTCATAACTAAATATTCTTATAAAAAATATGGAAAAAATTCTAACAACAATAAAAACCTTGACTTGAAGAATTTAGAAGTATTCGGCGCTATAATATATGGTAATCATTTTTTTATCACGCAGTTGATCATTAAACCAATTATCTAATTGTTTATTTGTTAATTAATAGGATTTAATATGGAAGTATACTCTTTAGATAAAGTAGGTTATAGAATATATAGAGTACGTTTAGTGAGAACTTTAAAAATTCCTGTGAGGGAAGGTAATAATGAATATTATCGGTCTTTAAATCAATTGATGGTAAATAATATATGATTTATGTGACAAATTTGATAAATTTTATTTAACTATATTTGATTTTATAGTATGCGATCCATTATATGTCAAGTATGATTGAAAACTTGGATAAGTCTCTCAAAAAAGAGAAAAAATTGCTTGAATTTAGTGAAGATTTAAAATGCTGTTATTAAGAACGATCATCTGGCCAGTAATGGAAATCTAAATTAAGAATTCACATAATTTCATTTTCACGTACAACAATTTTAAAGAGAACGAAATTCATTATTTTTATTTGAATAAATGTCTAATAAAATAATTATTACATATTATATTTTTATTAAATCAGGGTTAAAACAAATCAATAATTAATTAAAAATAAACTATTAACTATATATATAAAATTGCTACCAACACCAATATATCTTTTAATGTTAAATATTTTTTAATGATGATAATAGTTAATATTATATAAAATTTACGAATATAAAAAATAAAATTGTATCTCCCTCAAAAAAAAAGGTACAACTATGAAATTAAGAAAGATTGTAATAAATATGATGGTGAACGTGCTGACAGATTTTTTTTTAATTTTAGTAAAATCATCTAAAAATGTTGAAAATACAGTTAAACTTTGAAGCATAAAGGCTTGATAAATAAATAAGATAGAGCAAAAATCTTTCCGTAGTTTTATTCTTTGTGATATAGGGAATAAGCTGACAGAATGTTTTTGGAAATTTATCAGTAAAAAGAGGATTTATAAGGATTTTCTTTTAAAATCTTTTCCTTTTAAAGAAAATGGTATTAAAAAAGAACCGTAAGAAACAAATTTTAAATAAAGAAATATTTAGAATTAACCGGCTTGATAAATTTTATTTTTGTATAGTCTTCAATTTAAGAGTTAAGCCATCATAAATATTTTTTAATTTGAAAATTCACAATAACCGATAGATTTTTTGATGTAACGTTGAAAAAATCCGCGCAGTAATTGTTATAATGATGTAATCTATGTTTGGTGATCTACAAGGATGGAATACTCCAATATTTTATGCATTTTTCTTTTGACTAAAAACAATCATGGTGATAAATGTAATTTTGATCCCTGTAGTTCACTTTGTCTGGTTTTGTTGCAGCATGCCCAAATACATAATGATGATATAATGGTAGTACAATGAAATGCAACCATTAGGAAACTTGATTATTGAACGTAAAATAAGAGAATTGGTGGAAAGATGGTAATGATAGCAATAATAAATTTTTTATATAATTTATGTAGTCTATATAGTGTTGGATCTTTGATTCCATATATAATTTAGCTTTTAGTAATCTCAACCAATTTATCACAAGAATATAAATCCTTTGATCATTATTTGTTCTGAGAAACTATTTTATTTACCTGATTTGCTCTTGATGCTAAATCCTGTATCATATAAATTTATAATACTCTCTAATAAGCTCGACATTGCCTCAAGGATTTTTACAAATCATTATCACCATATTTTCCTAGCACTGACAATGTTAAACATCGTGCATAAATTTCCTAAACACAACATAAACATTTTAAAAAATAAAATCATCAATATTATAATCAAATCAACATCACAGTCATCATTATTATAATTACTTATCTGATATAAGCAAGAAAACATTACAAGAAATCTCTACTATTACATGCTAATTGATTTTTATTAAAGATATAGTTATATACAACCTTTCTTACATGCATTTTTTTTTTACAAAGTTCATTCATCATTTTCTTCCTCTTCTGAATCTGATTTACTCATTAGTTAATCACTGCTGCTACTCCTTTAATTGATAAAGAACCCCCCTTTCAAAATAAATGAAACAATTAATTGTAGCACAAATAATGTGTGTAATTCAATCTTTTTTCAACAAAAAATATTTATAAATGTCTTCTTCAACAAAGTAAATATAGATTAAATTATTTCTAGATTTATGATTTTTTTTTAAAAAAATTTTCATTTTACTGATAATTATCCACAATTATTAGAACACCTTTGGAAAAGGAACTGAGTATGTTTTTTGTTTTTTGTTGATTTGATTTTTTTGTAAAAATTTAATGCTAAAAAATGATTTTTAAAAAAAAATAGTTGAATCAAATCAAAAATTATGGCAAGAAATAAATAACATAACTAATAATCATTTATCATATGTAAATAATTCAATTATTCAAAATATAAATTCATTGAAAACAATTCAAAAATCTGTTGAGGTTGTTATTATTAATTAATATTAGTCATTAATAATAATTTATTAATAATAATAGTAATAATATTTACTAATAATAATAAATATGATATTAATAATAACAGGAAACAAGAGATGGGATTAAAGATTTGGAGAGAGACATTAGATCTTCAAAGAATTTAGTATTTAAAGTTGACCAATCAATCATACCAACAGTTAAGGTGACAGAAGATGAATTATTAGAAACTAGATATGTTGTATCAGAGATTAAAAAATCAATCAATTATAACATAAAATGATAATATTTATATTTTATTTATTGGTTAAACATAAATGTATGATATGTAATCTCACCTAATAAATATAATATATAAATCATATAAAATAATAAATTATTAATAACATTTAAATAAAATAATAAAACATTTTTAAATATTATCAAGATGTTTAATAGTTTCATCATATTCATTTTTTAATTCATCATATGCCTTTTTCTTTTCTTCTATTTGTGTATCTTTTTCTGTACATTCTTCTTCAAGTTTAGCAATATGATGCTCTTGACTTTCTGATTTAACATCAATCTCACGAAGTCTATAAATAAAAATATACATATATTAGTAAATATATCAGTACTACAAATCTGATAATAATTCAAACCTTTACTTTTCAGTAATTTCTTTCAAGTTTTTTAGAGCTTCATCCAGGTCAGACTCAAGTTGTGCAACTTTCTTTGTAAGAGAATGATTTTCTCGTTCTTTAGCAGTGAGCTCATCTTGAACTTTCTTATTTTCATTTTTTACTTCTTCACTACTAGCAATTGCTGCATCACGTTCATCTCTAAGTGTATTTATTTTCTATGAACAATAATAATAAAAGTAATAATATTAATTATTTTATTATTATAGAATGTCTTTATTAAAATCAATCTTTATGAAAACATTTGTTTACCTCCTTAAGTTTATCCATTTATAGATGTAATTCAAATTTTCTTTGGTAAAAAAGTGGAATATTATTAAAAAATACTTTATTTATTACAAAAAGATCATTGATTGTAACACCACCTATTAATATAATGATCTACAGCCAAACCTTTAATAATTAAATTCGCGTTACAACAAATTTTTTTGTTTACATATATATAAAAATATAAAAACATAAAATTTGTCAAACAAATTTTAAATGCAATTTTCTTATGTCTTCCCTATAGATTTTTTGAAACGAGGTTTGGCTGTACATATCACGAAAATTATTTAACTTCTACGTGCAACAACTGTCATTCTAGGATTAATGCATTTCATAGCTCCTCCTTAAATAATCTTCTTCTCAACAATGATTTTTAGCTTCCTCCAACGTTGTTTGGAATTAGCTGGATGTTTCGTTTTCTTTTCTTTGTTTTTGTATACAAGACTAGAATTTGTGTGGGAACAACAAGAGTTTTATTGTGATAGGACTTGTTTTACCTTGCTGTGTAGCAACCACCACCAAATTTGAGATTAACTTCTTTATCACATGTATCTGCTTTAAGAAAATTTTTAAGGCAGGTTGTTAATAAAACCGAAAATAATATGACCTTCAAAGTCAAATTTTGCATTTATACTCATATGCGTAAAATTTTGTTTGACGTATAAGCAGAAATAAATGTCCAAATATTACATTATTACGAATATTTACAGTTTTTTGATCACTTAGGTATGTCTTTTATAGTAAAAACATTGTTTTAAAAGTAAATATAATAAATATACATAAATAATGATTAGAATAATAAACAAGCAACAATAATGATTAAATTAAATGGTGTTTTATCTCTAACTTTATTCCATTTAATTATTTATTATAGTGATGTTATTAAATATAAGTTAAAAGAGAAATTTATATACATAAATAAATAATAAACATAACTATTGAATGATTGATAAAATGTTCATTTTTGTATAACTTACTTTGCAAGCTTCATAGATCTTGTCCTTAACACTTAATTTGATCACTCCCATACAACTATTGAATAATTGATAAAATGTTCGTTAGTATGTTTTGTTCATAGATCTTGTCCTTAACTCTTACTTCAATCGCTCTACAAACTATTGAATAATTGATAATACGTTCGTTAGTATATTTTGTTTACTTTGATCACTCCTATACAAACTATTGAATAATTGATAAAACGTTTGTTAGTATATTTTGTTTATAGATCTTGTCCTTAGTGCTTACGTAGATCACTCCTACACAAACTATTGAATGTTTTGTTCATAGATCTTGTCACTTAATGCTTACTTTGATCACTCCTATATAAATTATTGAATAATTGATACAACAAAAAGATAATCTTCATAAAAACAATAGTAACGATCGTGCAGTTTTCATCATCATCAATTTATCCATATTCCACCTTTTCTTGTACAAGTGATAATACAAGCTGCCTCATTTTACGGCCCAAAAACAATAAACCCGATTGCGCTGATTGGGGATAATTTGGATTTTAATATTAATGTTGTGGAATAAATTTATATTATGAAAATATGAAAACATGAAAAAATGAAACGGATGCAAAAATAGCAAAGAGGTTTGATGAATTGGAAGTTTTTCAAGTAATTGGCTAAAAATTGAAATCATCATTATAACAAGAGAATACAGATAATTGTTTTTTGTTGGATTTTTTTTTGATATTCTCCAACAAAAATAGCCTATGTTTTTTGTTCACTTATTTAACAAGCACTATCATTTTACTTTTAATAAAATTATAAATTAGATTCTGGATACCGTAATTAAGCGATTAATCTTATTAATCAAAGCAAAATAATTTATAATGTAAGAAAACCTTTGACTAGATTGATGCCATTCTACTACTTCTATTGTTGTGAGTCATATATATTTTTTAGTTAAATATTATTTGCATTGCTTAAATAATGGCCCCTGGTCTAAAGACTCACAATGATAATACTAATAATCAACCTGATGAAATTTAAAAATAATTATTATTATTGAATGACTAATAACACACAGTTAAAGGAAACCTGTACTCGATCATTGTGAAATTAAAGAACCAACATTATCAAATCTTTAGGATTAGTTTCTTTCATCTTATTGAAAAGCAAAATTGGGAAATTCCATATAGCCCAAAAATGGTTGTCAACATTTAACTGATATCATAATATCACCATATAGTGTTTGGACAAATCATTTGTTTTATAATTTGTGAAATTCTATCATCACAATTGGCTAGCGTGATAACAACAATAATATTAAGATTTTTTAAGAAAATATTTTTATTTAATATTATTAAAAATTTTTTACATTGCAAAAATCTATTTATTCTATATGCCTGTTAGTTAAAATTATATTTATATTTATATGTAATATTAGGCTGATGGAACACGCAAAAATCTATTTGGTGTAGAATCATCCAAACCATCAACAACATCTTTGGTACTTAGACTTATAAGTTTTGAAGCCATACTACTTGGACTTGCGTTGCCTTCTTTAGCAATAATCAATGCAATTGTTCCTGAGACATGTGGTGTTGCTTGGCTGGTTCCGGAGAATGCAACTGAACCATTGTTGTCATCAAAAGTGGCAGATTTAATATTACTACCTGGTGCAAAGATATCAACACATTTGCCAGAGTTTGAGAAATCGGCAATCTGGTCACTTGTATCTTCTGTTGCACCAACTGTAATAGCAGATGGCGCAGATGCTGGTGATACTTCACAAGCACCTGAAGACTCCTTACCAGCTGCCACTACAATATGAATACCTGCTTTGGTAAGTTTTTCGACAACATCATTGATAGCTTGAGAAAAACCTCCGCCAATTGACATGTTAATGACTGTGTTTTTGTTGGAACTTTTTTTATGCTGACTGAGCACATGTAACATGCCATTGACAAAATCAGTATTTGTACCACTACCATCAGCAGCAAGTACTTTTACCGCAAGTAGATTACATTTCTTGGCTACTCCAAAAGTCTTCCCACCAATTATACCAGCAACGTGGGTACCATGACCATTATCATCTTTATCGCCACATCCTTCACAAAAACTAGCACTATGTTTTGCACGTCCACCAAAGTCGCTATGTTCAACATTGATTCCAGTATCAATAACGTAGACATTTACGCCTTGACCAGCTGTGTCAGGAAAGGTGTATTTTTTGTCAAGTGGAAAATTAGCTTGATCGATACGATCCAAATTGAATAATGGATTATTAACAACGGCTCTTTTGAATATCCTGCCATTATTTCCAGATGGAAGAGCATAATTTGCTTTGATTTCCTGTTCTTGTTCGACGACAGAAACTTCATCCAATTTTGCTATTTTTTTAGCATCTTCAGGAGTAAAGTAACCATTATATCCGACTACTTCTGAATCAACAGAGAAATCATAGATCATTTGTTTATCATCTAATCTTGCAGAGAAGTTGCTTGCATTGACTTTTTGAATTTTTCTTCCTAAACACTTTTTCAACATTTCAAAATGTTTGAAGGCAGCATTTTTTTTTGAAGACGATGATGCAGAAGTAGAGGTTTTTAATAAGACGATGTAGAGTTTAGCGTTTTCAGAAGAAGAAGGAGAAAATTTGGCGGCGAATTGACAATTGACATTATTGTTGCTAGGAGCCGATTGAGCAGCTGTGGCCAAAAAAGCAACAATGATAGCAATTGAAAAAAATTTGTATGAAACCATTTTTATTATTTTTAATTGATAAAAAAAAGATTCGAGAGGAGAAGTAATAAAAGAAATTTTTTTAATGATTGTGAAATAATCACGCAGAAATTAACAATATGTTAATGTGGTAAGGAAAAAAGAGGGAGAAGATGTGGTTGAAGGTTTGAATTTTTGTTTTAAGGAAGGTAAAAGAAAGTGTTATTATTATTATTATTATTATTATTATTATTATTATTAAATTTTTTATTTTTCGAAGAAAATTCCATCCCTTTTTTATATAAAATCAAACAATTCGATTTTGACGATCATATTTGTTATCTTGAATACCGTATATGTTAAATAAGCAGCCATTGATGTATAATAATAACAATAAATCCGCAAAATATTCCCCATTTGACTATTCGGCCATTTTTCTTGTATCAAAAAGAAAATTCCATTTTCCAAAACATGCGCCGATCTTTCCGTTAATTCATTGCTGTCAATTATTGCACAGAGGAAATTTACGTATAACCTTGGGGTTCTCATGTGTATGAAGCGTATCAGTTTTTTATTGAGGTTATAAAGAACCAGGGCTTGTACTATTTGTAGATATATGATGCTTATTAATTATTTTGATAATTTTTTTTCTTTTTTTTAGTTTACAAGAGATTCTTCGTTCGTTCAACTTGTACATAAACAACTATTGCTATTTATTGTTTTAAAAAAATTATCTCATAATTCAAATTCGAAAACCAAGAATTTAATTGAACATTCTTGCTTAAAATTTTTAACCTCAAAAAGAAATTATTAAAAAGAGAAGATAGAATGCTAAAACCAAAAAAAAAAAATGAATATATGACTTATATATTTGCATGACATCGCACATTTTCTATTGTCTAAATATTGGTCTTGTATTTATCATAAAAGATGTTTCCATAAAATATTATTTATTAAAAATTATTATCAACTAATGATTGATATGACGACTATGAACTTTGATTATCATGAGTTGATTTAAATATCATTTGGTTGGTTTTTTATAAGCTTTTGATTAGTATGTTCATTAGCTCTTTCCTTCAATGTATTTTTGATCTCATTTCAACATTTTCATTTGATATTTTCAAATAACATCTTTTCTACTAGTAGGTATTTTCTTTATCTTGATTAGCAATACCTAATTTTTGATTTGTTTCTTTCGAATTGAATATGAATTGAATACGAATCGTGCTTTGATTCGATTCTAACCTGTAAATGATTTGATTTGGTTCGAATTTAATTCAAATATAGTAGAACCTGTCTATAAGAATACTGTTGGGCCAAGAAAATCCTATGCTATTAAGCAGGTTATTCTTAAAAGCAGGTTTGGCATTTATATGTTTATGATGTCACAAAATTCACGAAACATCCAGCTAATTCCAAACAACGTTGGAGGAAGCTAAAAATCATTGTTGAGAAGAAGATTATTTAAGGAGGAGCTATGAAATGCATTAATCCTAGAATGACAGTTGTTGCACGTAGAAGTTAAATAATTTTCGTGATATGTACAGCCAAACCTCGTTTCAAAAAATCTATAGGGAAGACATAAGAAAATTGCATTTAAAATTTGTTTGACAAATTTTATGTTTTTATATTTTTATATATATGTAAACAAAAAAATTTGTTGTAACGCGAATTTAATTATTAAAGGTTTGGCTGTAGATCATTATATTAATAGGTGGTGTTACAATCAATGATCTTTTTGTAATAAATAAAGTATTTTTTAATAATATTCCACTTTTTTACCAAAGAAAATTTGAATTACATCTATAAATGGATAAACTTAAGGAGGTAAACAAATGTTTTCATAAAATATTATTTATTAAAAATTATTATCAACTAATGATTGATATGACGACTATGAACTTTGATTATCATGAGTTGATTTAAATATCATTTGGTTGGTTTTTTATAAGCTTTTGATTAGTATGTTCATTAGCTCTTTCCTTCAATGTATTTTTGATCTCATTTCAACATTTTCATTTGATATTTTCAAATAACATCTTTTCTACTAGTAGGTATTTTCTTTATCTTGATTAGCAATACCTAATTTTTGATTTGTTTCTTTCGAATTGAATATGAATTGAATACGAATCGTGCTTTGATTCGATTCTAACCTGTAAATGATTTGATTTGGTTCGAATTTAATTCAAATATAGTAGAACCTGTCTATAAGAATACTGTTGGGCCAAGAAAATCCTATGCTATTAAGCAGGTTATTCTTAAAAGCAGGTTTGGCATTTATATGTTTATGATGTCACAAAATTCATGATTTTTTTTCTTCATTTAAACACATTTATAAAAAAAGATCTATTATTTTACATTTTAAGTAAGCAATTGTTAAATATTTTATATATATAGTTATTTCCAAAAAGACCTAGTCAATTTTTTACAGTTTTTTAAAAAATAGTGTGACACAGGAATTTTTGTTGATACATGTGATTATGCTTATGTTCATATATTAAGTTTAGAATTTTTTTTATGCATATATACAAGATGCTGTGTGCTTATAGCACATATGGCTCAACTCGGGTCGAGAAAATTCTATGCTTTTAGACAGGTTCTGCTGTATATAATAAAATAATTAAATTCTGTAAATCTCAAAAGAGTTGCCTTTGGAAATAAGTACGTACTGATTTGATAATTCACTTGCTGCATAATAATAAAACATATTACTATGTGTAACATGTATGGATATGTATTGATTCATTGTTTTTCTCGCAGTTGTCACAAACGAACATCTGATATAACATGACCAGGCCCCTAATTTAGATTTATTCGCATAATTTTAAAACATCTATAACAAATAACATTACCCGTCTTTTCAAGAATTGACCTATGAAAAGCGTCGTTATTGTTTCTGTAATAAAATGCATATAAGCAATTGTAATGATAATTGCTTTTAGCGCCACTCGAATTAAGTTCTTTGAGAGGAATGCGTACACGAATATGCCATGCATAGATATCCTCACCTGGTCAAATAATCATATTTTTTCATTCAAGATTTAGACTCCAATGTAAACGTCTTAAATTATGACCGCATAAATCTTCACGTTTTTCTGGCTTTATTCCCGCAAAAGCATTATTCATACCTTTTTTATTCATTTGTGTATATAAAATTGAAATTATGAATTATTTAATGAATTATAAATGTTAAAAGACTTGCATTTGATTTAGTTTTTATAATTAAAGAATATGCATTTCAATCTTTTGTGCAAATATTCAGAAAATTTATTGTGCTTAATTTTGAACGAGCCGAGCTTGAGCTAAACGTCTAGCTCGACTCGACTTAACTTGAGTTTGATGTTATGTAAAATTTTTTTTAGTCAATTCTACTCAGTGGTGTGCCGCGCGTAGTGTGCTATGTTCAAGAATTTTTGTGTATACATCATTCAAGTTGCATGCGTGTACAAAAGTTTCACCATATTAAAGTTTATTAATGCATAAATTTCAAAAGATTGCTAAATTTAGATAAATTGTTAAGGTGTCTGTTTGGTATATGTATTCTACTTTTTCTTTTGTTGTAATTTTGTTTATCTCGTAAATTAGCAATATCTACATTTAAACATACTTTGAAATGTCCTTCACATCAATTTTACTGAACTATTACACTCAATGCCACATGCATTACATTTTACTCTTTGTTGAACCACATATCCAATTTGAACGAAAAAAGCTCCAGGTTTTAATACTTTTTTTTATTTGTGAGCATTTTAGTCAAAGCTTGAGCGACCAAGTAATACTAGCTCCCGATATTCAAAAGGATCAATAAATCAATTGAAAACAAGACCAATTAGCAATATCTATAGTTTTTAAGACCGATTAACTACTAAACAGAAAGAGCATCTATATGCTATTTCTCAAGCTATATTTTGTTGTGGACTTTCTCTTTCACTTTCTTGAACTTGAACCCTTTTTAAAAATTTACGTTCATCATTCGAATTACCTACAAGAAAAGGCTCTGTACTGACTGCATTGTATAAAACTAATCTTAAAGCAGGACAATGTACTAATATAGTTGATACTAATTTATTAAGTTAATAATTATTATTATGTGCGCATTATGATATTATACACTATGCACACCATGCATACTATGCGCAAAAAAATCAGGGTTACAAAAAAAGAAAAAAACAAAAACATAATTTTAAGCTTAAAATGTTTGAAAAATCAAATGAGAAAACGGAATGCGTGCATTAATGAAACCATTGGACAAAAGTTTTTTTTGAAATTCTTTATGTAATAATAATATTATTAATATTTTTAATATATGCGGAGAGGAAAACTTTAAATATGTCCAATTTGATCATTGATATGCACGCTTAAAACTTTCCGACTAAAATTAAAAGTAAACAACAACATTTATGCATAATAACAACATTATCATCTATTTGTGAGTACGAGGATCAATTTAAATTTAATATAAAGATGTACTATGCATAATTTTTTATAGAGAAATTAATAACGTGGTGGATTAATCACGCAATTAAATATAATAATGTGTTTTAGTTTTTGGCGGTGGTATTGTTTATCTTTATTGCAATTTTATTCTATCATTCTTACCCTATTCTACCATTTCGATCCATTTACAACAGAAATAAAGTAAATATTATTATGTAGTATTTAGTATCTCATATTCTCTATTAATTGACACGATAACTGGCTTTCTGTCAAACAGAACAATTATTAATATTAATAATATTACAAATATTGCATTGTAACCAGCTTATTATTATTTATTCGGTTTCAGTAAACTGCTATTCCAAGTGAAAAAAGTGACAAAGTGATTGTACGTAATGCATTACCCAATATTAGTGATCATCACTCACATTAAGTTTTTTTTTAAGGAATTCCATAATTTATCTGATCGCGACAATTTTGTGTAGTGTAACGAGTGAGATACACCAATTTGTAATTATAATGGTAATTGATTTAACGTTTTGGGAAAGAATTTTGGTTTATTTTATAAAAGTGGATGTTAAAAGAAAAAAAAATGTATTAATTTACTATTATAGATAAAATTTTGGAGAATTAAAAGAACCGAATTATAATAAATAATAAATAACGGCGGTAATTTGAATATTAATTCAATCATATTTATCAATGCTTAGTAAGTATCATTCATTGAATTACCGAAAATTCAAAACTTCGGTTACAATCTACAATAGTGTCATACTAACGCGCTTTGTCATTTATTTTTTATTTTAAATGAAACTATCTAATTTAATCATTAAAAAGCAAAAAAAGGTTACATTAAAAAATTTTTAAATATATTAATAAATACATGTTTAATATAATGCATATGTTATAAATATTTACAGGGGTTATATTCAGATAAAAAATAAAATACGTAATTGGCGCTGTCTATTATTTTATTCATTTACAACAGAGATAAAGTAACCCTATAAAAAAAAATAGTCTGTTATTTGAATTTTAATTCTATAACGGCAAAGTTTACATCATTTTTCCATAAATATAATGCATTTATGGGAATATTATACAATCTTTTTTTATGGGGTAATAATAATAATAAGGAAATAATAATAACAATAATAACAACAATAACAATAATAGCAAATCATTTTCAGATTCTGAATTAATGATCATAATAATGATGACGATAAGGATAACAAATGATTGGAATGATAAAATGATAAATTATTTATGTCTTTTAATATTATCATTACTCGTTGTTGTTTTGGCTGATATTCGTTCCTCTTTCACTATTTCCTAATTTTATTATTCTATTCGCTTTTATCAGTCCATAAATGATATCAATAATAACGTAACGATTAATTTCGCATATGAGGAAAAAAAAGCGATTTTTTATCACGATTTGATTTTAAATTTATTGTGAAATACTAATTAGTCATATATATCATATTAAAGAACCTCCCTTTCTCTTTCTCTATGAATGAATAAATCAATGAGCGAGTGAACAAATCACACGGATATTAAATTTTATTTTATTGTTTAAAGTCACGGTTAAGAAATAAAATTGATGCCTAATACTAGATATTGGCCGAAAAACTCTTTTTTTGACAAAATTAATTGATCATTGATCAATTGAAAAAACTTCTATTTTTTAACATTGCCATCAAAAATATTAAAGATAATTTTTATTTATTTTATAATAAAATTACATTAAAGCCTTGAAAACTCTATGTAAATTAGTTAACCTAATTTACATCGAGATGTCATTCGTAAAACTTGGTTTTAAAAAAGGTCATTATAACAAGATTGTCATTATATATTGAAATTAAAATTTTGCTATTTGCTATTGATATTTTTCAATTATTACATATTTTTATTTTCTTTTGAGACCAAACCCAATGAATTCCAATAAGTCTCATTTAGTTGTGCATCTGCTTGTTCAATTTGTAAGTATTGTTGAAATTCTTCTAGGGAGTCTTTACCATTATTTAAATATGTAATAAATTGGGCGGGTTGAGATAAATCATCAGTCTTATTGACAATATTGTTATAATTAACGAGAAGGGGATTAAAATCAGACGAAGTAGAACACGAAAGAAAAGAAGCGGAGGGACTAAAAGAAGTGAACGATAATGAACTTGGATTATCACTTGTGAAAGAAGGGATAGAAGAGTACGGATAAGTTGGTGTTGAAACTACATAATTGTTATTATTATCATTATCTTCTAGTTGTTCTGGTTGTTGATAAGGCGATTTTGTACTATAGTTTGAGTACAAATGGTGCAATGATGAAACTTCATAATAGGAATTATCTATTTGATTTTTTTGTTGCGGATAAGATGAGTTTGAATTATTATTTGTGGAAGATAACGAACTTGTATTGCTATTGGTTTTATGACAATCTTCTTTTTGTTTTTGTTGCGGTTCTGGTCCTTGAGAAATAAATATATGTTGATTTGGTTGCTGAATGATACTCTCATAAATCAATTTATGTTTTTCAAAAGCCAGCTTTGCTAGTATTTTAAAGTAACTTTTTACTTCGTCCAATTCATTCTTCCAGGCATCGCCAGCTTCCTTTGAAAGAGTTTTCCAATCCTTTTTACTCTCAAGAGATTTATGTTTTGCAGCATAATTTTTGCGGTATAAGAGAAAAGCGTTTTGGGATCTTGGAATATCTATGGAATCAACATTATTAGGATTGGGTGAAATGAGTTGAATCATTTGCACGTGTAGTTGACAAGGAGGATTGAAGAGAAAGCTAGTCTGATCACTGTCAAGTCGTGCTTTATTAACATATAATAATATTTCAGGATTCATATTGTTGCGTTAAATATGTTATTGTTTATTTAAAATGATAAGTTTTTTTATTCGAATTTGTGATATTTACAAATTTATTAATTATTGAAAATATTTTTATTAATAAAATTTTTATCGAATTTTTATAACTTTATATATGTGAAAATAAACCAAATGACCAAATGAATCGAATTAGTCATATGACTAAAATAATTATAATTGTACAGCGGATCGTTTAAAAAAAATAATACTTTTTAAATATATTTTACTTTCTGTAATATTTCTATAATATCTTTATCTTTGACTACTTGAAAGCTATAAATTACAATTTTAGCAGGATGTTTACTAAGAATTATTAATACAATATTTTCATCAACAATTATCAATGAAAAGATTTGCTACGGTTTTTATTTATTCTCAATAATGAATTATAGAATACCTCATTTTTGATATAACTTCCATAAATAGGCAGAACAAATAGTATAACGTGGGAGACATATTATTATCTTGTTTATTATCTTGTTATTCTAAAATAACCATCTAACAACGAAAAATTTTTTTTATTACGTAAATTGACTTTTTTGTGAATGGCTAAATTGAGAAGTAGCTATGTATGAGGTAAGTGGCACTGTAAATTGACTTTTTTGGAAAATGAGTCGAAAAATTAAATGTTAAATTAATGCAAAATGGAAAAAACATTCCAAATATATGTTATTTGTTGTGTATTGTTTATCGTATCAGCAAACATATTTAAACAGTAAGATGCGCGTACATGCCTTCTTTTGAAACCAATATATATATATACTATCAATATTGAATATTAATATTTATAAAAAATTTAATTAGAAATTTTCTAGACATTTTTAAGAATACCAAAATTTACAAAGAACATAGTAATAGTAATAATAACAATCGGAATCTATTATAATAACGATTTTAGTAAATAAATGTTAATAAAGCAAAGTCAACTCACAGTTACATGTTGACTTAAACAAATAAAATAAATGTCAAGAAACGACAACAACAAAAAAAAAATAATTTACAATTCAATTCAGACAAAAAACAAAAATTAGAGGAATCTACTCAAGAAAATGAACAAAATAATATGCCTTCTCAAATGCCTCAACCATCTCAATCAGAAACTTACAAAGAAATAGAACCTATTACTACACTTGATGATAATAGAACCACTTCTTTTGATGATGACAATATGAATGAGACAACTCCTGATGATGTCAATATGGAAAATAATGATAAAGATTTTATTTATATCATAAAACAAACAGCATTTATAGCAGTAACTCCCTTGGTAATGATGTATGACGAAACTTTTGATTTTAGTCATTGACGTGACGAAAGTACTGACCAAAGATGGTTTTTCACCAAGGGCCATTTTGACAATTTGACGAAAGTAAAATTGAAATTGAAATTTTTTTTTGTTTTATATATTTATATATAAAAGTTTGCCCCTTATTTATAATATTTGAGTAAAAATTATTTGAATTGAAATTAGTAAAACGACCATAAACTATTCAAATTACAAGCAACTTCCACCTTCCTTTTATATCCAATAGTAAGCTCATGAGATAATATTGTTTAAGGCAATGTCGGATCCACAAAATAATTTATCTGGTAGACCTTCCTCAAATGTGTGTATTCATTCATTTTACTAAAAACAAAAAGAAAAATCTAAAGGACATTACTCTGCACAATGCAAGTATTGCACAAAAAAGTTTAGCCATGGATAACCACAAAAACTTTTATCACATTTAACAAATCATTGTCCTGGCTGTACTCATGAAATTAGAAAAGAATATCTAAGGCAAATAAATGATGATAATAACAATGAAAATTTAGAATCATCAACAATTCAACAGCCAATTTCAAATTTTTATGAAAGCACATTGTTGACAAAAAAACGCAATGATTCTATTAACTGGGCATTAATCAAAGCATTTGTTTGCTGTGATTTTCTTTTTCAGTTGTCAGTAATCCATACTTTATATATCTTCTTCAATAGCTCCATCATGCATATCAACCACCATCTAGGAGTGTTTTATCTGGAAAATTTCTTGGTACCGAAATATCTAATTACAATAATAAATTGAATTCAATGTTAGAAAATAACAAAAACCTATAAAAAAATTTATTTTAATAAAAGCTAAATCTGATTTTCTAATTTTTTGTTTTGTTCAATAATTTTTGAATGATTTTGACTTTCGTCAAGGTTTAGTCTTTCGTCGTTTTTTAGTGCATTTGACGAAATAATTTCTCAATTCTAAAAACATTTCGTCATACAACATTATATACGACTTGGATCATTGTCTTGTTGAAATTTCCAACGTTTCCCAAGCATATTATTGACTTCAGAGAGATGATTTCCAACGATTTTAATATAAAAATTGGCATCCATTGTTTGTGTAAAACAAAATAGACTTGTTTTCCATTTGCTACAAAATCCGGCACATGCAAAGATTTTTTGTCTATTTTTAGGGAGTGGTCTAATTGGCCTTGGACCTTTATACCATTGTGTAATTGTATTCCTAAATAATTGAAATGCTGTCTCATCTGTAAAATAGTTTTGCCATTTAAATTTTTTTGTCCCATTCTACACAATTAGCCTTGTGGGATACAGTAAGCATCGGCGTTCCAGTTGGTAATGAATTTTTATAACCAATTCTATTTAAATGTCATTTAATTGTAGTATAGCGAATATTTACATCAAATTTAGATGGTTCGGTAGCCAAAGTTCTTAAAGAAAGAGTAGGATTTCTTCAGAGGAACTGTCCAATTGTCCTCGACGTGGGTTGTGTAACCATAGTCGGCCTTCCGGATTTTTTTCTGAGATGAAGTTCCTGTCTCATTCGATTTTTTGATATTGTATTTAATAGTAGGTAATGGAATTCCTGTTAATTTGTGGAATTATAGGCACCTTTTTTCCAAAAGTATAATATAGTCTGACATTGTGATTCTAGATCTGATGATGACATAATTATAACCTTATTTTCAATAATGTAGTAACAAACTTTTAAAAAAATGATGTCAGGAATAAGAAAAAATAAAATAAACAAGTTTATAAAATATAATATAATGAAAAGTTATCACGTTTTAAATCACATGATTTTTGGCCAATTATTTTTGCAACACACTGTATCTGAGTTAATTTCAAATTCTGGTGATAATTATTGTCAGGAAAATATTTGTCATTATTTTAACTTTCATTAGATATAATATAGAAAAATTTTTTTGGGGGATAAGTGGAATGGAAAAAGGCATCAAAAATTTAATTTATTAAATTTGAATCAATAAACTGACAGCTGTTCAACCACGGTTTAAATGGTCTAAACATATTGACTTGGTTTAACAACCATAAATTGATTAAAAAACCTTGTTGAAAATTTTGATTTTAAAATAATGATGAAATTTAATTGGTTATTTATTGACAAACCACGGTTTTAAACTATTACTAGGATTCAACTAATTGAATCGATCACAGTTGGCTTGGTTTGTCTTCAACCGTTTAATATCCCTGGCCGAAACCCTTTCAGGAATCAATCAGCAGAGTTTCACACTAATTGTTTATTAGAATCTTGGGAGAGTTTTGCATTAGAGATCTTGGCAATCAGCAGAGTTTTGGCAAGTAGATATTAATTGTTTATTAGAGCTTGTAGATTTTTGACAGTCACTATGAGGTTTCGGCAAGCAACCTTTAAATCAACGAACGATTTGTTAGGAAGCCAAAAATTTTGTGCAGCAAATCTTTTTCTTACGTACAAGAAATCTTATACTTTATATATAGTAAATCTTTTTATATTAAAAAAAATTCATTAAAATTATAAAAATTAGTGAATCATTTCATTATAATCAGTTGATTAGTTAAATCAATTGATTTGGCAAAATTTAATTCCGTTACAGTAGACGGTTTCAAAAATTTTAATGTTAGTAAATATTATGGGCCAAATTATGGTTTTTTCTAATGTTGTTGAAAACCTTAGGTCAAGTTATATTAAACTTAATTTTGATCTGGGTCAAATCATATAGTTGGCTCAGTGTAAAGGACCTCCTCCTAAATTTTGTGCAAACTTTAAGAGCATAGAATCATTTTTTGTCCATTATTTTAAAAAAATAGCCTCTAATTTTAATGTGACGAAGAGATTTTATCAAAAAATTTATTTGTCGTAGAGATTCTTTTTTAGTACATGCATTTTACTATAAACTACGTATTTGTTCGTGCGCTATTATCATTGCTAAATTTAGACTAGATTTAAATCATCTATTACTAAATTTAGACTAACGCGCGACCATCATATCTAAATTTGGCAGTAAGAAAATTTTCAATCAAAGTCATGTGAATAGACCTTTCTTGAAATATCTATTTTTGAAATTTTGAAGCGTTGACGCAGCAATAGGTGTCTTTAGAATATCAATATAGCAAACAGGAATTTTCATTCCTATTACTATCTATAAAATTTGCGGACCCGTCTGTATTATTTTTATATTTGCATTACACTATTTTTTTGGATTAGCATCTAATCACTGTTTGATTAAAAAAGTGAACAAGATCACATTTTGTATATAGTTAATGATAGAATTACACGTCATTGCCAAAAAACAGTTTATTGTATTATTAAGAATGACCTATCATTGTTAATATCGTTTCTAATAATAAATATTTAATGCATCATTAAACCATTGCGATTATGAGATGTTTAAATTATCGTAAATTTTATTTCTTTTATGTCAATTTTAGGGAAATTTTATTTTGCATATCAATCTAACACATTTCTAAAGCTCTCGCAAGTTCTAGTAAGATTACAAATGTCATTGTTCCACAATCTCAAACAGATTCTGGGGAAGCGTGACGAGAAGAGGTTTCCTTGGTAATTAAAAGGTAAGCCAATACTCACTAGACATGCAAATCAATAAACTCGAATAATATTTTTCTATTGTTTAATGATTGAATATAACTAACTACATCAGGAAAATAAAGCTTACGTAAGCTTATAATTGGCCAGCATTACATCGAAATATTTGCAATTCTGATAATACTACCACATAATGCTGGTCAATTTTGAACCCTACGTAGGTCCATGATCCTAACGTGTTTCTAATCGGGTTTTCCTTTTGCCGAGTACAAACGTTTGTTACATATATTTCAATATATTATTATATAAGTTATAGTTTACTTTCCAATTATTACTGGTTGCATCATTTAAATGTAGAACCTAGATAACATTTCAATCAAATCTATCTATAACAGTAATAATGAATGAATAACGATGATAATTTCCAAAATGCGATAAAAAAAAATGTTGACTTACTTTCTTTTAACATCCACTTTTCCTTGTTTGCTTTTTTTGGCTCTTTTCGTCCTTCTTCATACATTCACAACAAAAAATTATTTTAGCCATAATACCTGTAGCAGTAAATCATAATTAGAATATCATGTAATCAATTACGAATTAGTATATAATAAATCTAAAATAAAACAAAGAAAATTTGCATTACAAATATTTGGACGAATGTGAAAGGATACAATGACGAAAACGTTTATTTTTTGAAAAACATTGGCTTAATGTGGTAAAGTGATTATGAACTGACATGTCATTTGTAAATCTAGCTAGATCTATAATTTCAACTATAAAAAGATACAAAAACCTTTAAGCTATAACATCGAACCCTCTAATTTGAAAATAATCTTTAAGCTATTAATAATATGCCAATTACTTTCTTTAATAATTAATTTTTTGTTTTCGTCGTATCGCAACTTTAAACTCGATTGAAAAAATTTATTTTATAATTATAATAATTTCTTCGTATAATAAAACAAATTTTTCGATAATAATTAATATATCGCAAGTTCGAATAGAAAATTATTATTCTAACAAAAACAGTAATAATGTGTATGGATGAAATATTATTATGTGTTTATAAAGCACAACTTGACAGTGATCAGACTCGTCTTCTCTTTAATCCTCCTTGTCAACTACACGTGCAAATGATTCAACTCATTTCACCCAATCCCAATAATGTTGATTCCATAGATATTCCAAAATCCCAAAACGCTTTTCTCTTATACCGCAAAAATTATGCTGCAAAACATAAATCTCTTGAGAGTAAAAAGGATTGGAAAACTCTCTCAAAGGAAGCTGGAAATTCCTGGAAGAATGAATCGGACGAAGTAAAACGTTACTTTAAAATATTAGCAATGTTGGCTTTTGAAAAACATAAATTGATTTATGAAAATATCGTTCAACTACCAAAAAGATATATCTTTATTTCTCAAGGACCGGAATTACAACAAGAAACCAATGATAATAATGCCAATTATGTAGATTCATCATCGTATCGCTTGCACACAAACTATAATACAAGCTCGTTTTATCAACAACAAGAACTATTACAAGAAGAGAAGGATTATAACGATAATAGCAATTTTGCGGTTTCAACACTATCTTATACACGCCCTTTTTTTTCTTCTTTTATAAGCAATAACCCAAGTTCGTTATCTTCCACTTCTTTTAATCCTTCCACTTCTTTTCTTTCGTATTCTACTTTTAATCCTCTTCCCATTAATGATGACAACTTCATCAATAATACTAACGCTTCATCTCAAACCGCCAAATTTAACACTACTATGGATTTAAATTATGATGAAATACTCTCAAAAGGATCTGAATGTTTACCAGATAAACAAATGAACAAACGATTTAAATTTAAGAGTGTCAATTTCTAGAATTTAGAGAATATTTTTTTTACAAAATAAATGAAATAGTAAGCAACTTTTTTAAATTGACAAATAAAAAATTTTAATTCAACATACATATAACGACAGCTTGTTATAATTTTTTATATGAATTTACCGTCCATGCAAATTACGTGTTATTTATATTAATATGCAATATTTATTTACGAGTGTTGATTTGAAAGAGATATATTGATATTGTTGTTTTTGAGAATTGTTTAATGGCCTTTTTGAAGAAAAGTTTATAATTGCTAATAAAACGCAATGAGTGAAATAAATCTATCTTCATTGGCGCTAGAGATTGGAATCGACTAAAATAATCGACTAATCTTTTTTTTTTTGAGCAACTAGTAGTCGATTAATTAGTCGATTACTAGGCAACGCTAATATCAATACTATTACTATGCTAATATTAAGATTGATAATTATTGCCTGACCCAATTATAAATAAAACCGATTTTTGTGTGTGGTACAAAAAAAATTATGGAAAATTTCTATACGGAGTATCAATTAGAGGTCGGAATCGACTAATATAGTCAATAAACTTTTTCTTGAACAACCAATAGTCGACTACTAATATTAATATTGATGATTATTATTATTGTCTGACCAATTATAAATAAAACCGATTTTTGTGGTATGGAAAATTTCTATGCGGAGGAGTATCAATATCATCAATATGATAATGATGACAATGGTGTTGATGATAATTTTACATGTGAACTAATAAATATTTCCAATACAAATTCCAATAGTTTATTGGTTTCAAGTTCTAATGATTTAAGCGGTGGTTCCAGAAGGCCTTTAAAAAAACAAATCGTAACGCATGGTTTTGTGTGGAAGTATTTTGAAAAATTGAAAGATTCAAATGGAAATGAATTCGTAATTTGTAAATTAAAAAACATAATGAAATATTAATATTAAAAAAAAAATTTTTTAGCCGACTAAAGAAATTTTGACCAGCTAGTAGTCGACTAAGGATTTTTTTGGAGATTCCAATATCTAAGTTTCGCAACCGTTCGAAATTCAAAAGGTTTCGCCATAGTCGAAACTAGTTTTGATGTTTGACTATTGACTTTTAATTTATTTTTGACAAACTTTTTAATTTTAGTTTTGACTTTCACCTCTTCAAAATAGTTTTGGCGATCAACTTACAAATTTAAAAACCGATCCAGGATTCTGTCACAAATTGCGAATTAAGAATGATCTGCATTTTAAATGGTTAATTTGATTAATTCGATTAAAACGGATAAAACGAATAATTCTAATACTAATTCGAATAATTTAAATAATTCAAATAGTTCGAATAATTCAAATAAGTGAATAAAACGAATAAATTGAATAAAGAAGCAATTCGAATAAAACGCATAACTCAAATAAAATAATGAACGAATAACTCGATTAAAACGAGTAATTCTTCAGACAATTCGAACAAATGACGAATAAAAATGGATAGTTCAAACAAAATGAATAAATGAATAAATGAATAAATGAATAAATGAATAAATGAATAAATGAATAAATGAATAAATGAATAAATGAATGACAATAATTTGGATAAACTAATGATAATAATTTGAACAAAACGAATAATAATATTTTGAATAATTTGAATAAATGGACTATTTGAACAAGAATTCATATTATGGATAGAAACTCTACTCTATTACAGAGTTACTGAATCTGGTACACAGCCAATAATGTTCAACAAAACTAAAATCACCATATACAACCACACTACTTGAGGCATTCCTACAAGCAATCTAGTAAAACTAAAAAGGGTCCCCAACAGGGCTGGAAATAAGGTCTGAAAAAAAACGGAAGTTTCTCCTGAATGCTAAGAATTTTCCGGAAGAAAACTTTAAAAAAAGGAAAATTTTTTGGGTGCTAAAATTTCTTTACTTTATTCTTCTGTTTTCACTTTGAAAAATTTTACCAAGAGCATCACTAAAATCATAACCAAATAAATCAGTACCTTCTAAACCAACCATCATTAACATGTGCAATGTGTCATTTTTCATTACATTACATTTGATAATATTCTGTTTGCTAAAACTTTTTTCACAATCTACACTAGAAAATCGAATTGAGTGCACTATTTCTATAAGTTTTAAGATATAAATAAGACTTGGAAGTTTGGAAATTGGAATATTTTTTTTTTTTTTGCCATCCAGTAAATATTAATTATATGTTTGTTCCCATTATTAATGGCCTTTTCAGAAGAATCATGCATGGTTATTCTTGCCTTTTCTAGAAGCAAAACATCTTTATGTTGGTTTGAAAGTGCATGAGTTGCTAGAGCAGTAGATTTTGAAACATTCTTTGTTCCTAAATATTAACATTATAACATTAGTAAATTAACAATTGCAAAATGCAAAATTAATTATATTTATTTGTTACCTTTTCCTCAAATTGATTTTTTTCTCCATGTGCTTTACAAATTGTGCAAAACATTCTCTTTGTTACTGCATCATATTTTAACCATTTATATATGTTTGTGAGTTATTACTGATAGGGTTTATTTTTCCCAGTTCTCCTGTAGTGATTCTGAGCTTTAAATCCCCATCCCTGCCCTTGCTGTAAGGAATTTTTATTGATTCCTTGCTTTTAATCCTAATTATGCATTCTTGATTATTGTTACTATTGCCTTTGCATCCTGTGCATTTAAGCATGTGAGGTGATTCCCAGTCTGCCATTGTTGGAGATGTGGTGGGTGATATTTGGCAGGATGTTTGGTAATGTATTAAATTAATTTCCCCATTGTTTATTTGGTTTTTGTTACTGTTATTACTGTTACTGTGATATTTACCATATGTTATAATGTCTTTATGTTTTGCAATTATTAAGGAATTTTTATTATTGCTGTTGCTTTGGTACGTAAGATTTGGATCATTAATTATGTATCTCTCATGTAAGACTCTAGTGATTGGATTCTCCATTACTACTTGTTCAATTTTCCCATACCAACTTGGTTTTTTCCTAGTTGATTGAGTTTTATTTCTGGCCAGCCAGTGGTCCCATCTCAATAAATGCTTACCATCTATTGTTACAAGCTGATTCAAAAACATTAGATTTAATTTCCTCAGAAGTTTTGTACTCTTTTTAAATAACTTGTTGTCTGTTAATATATCTTTAATGGTTATGTCACCCCCAATGAATTCATGGTTTTTGTCTTCTGGAAGATGGTTACAAATTCTAAGCCCCCATTTCTTGGCTATTACCATTATGTCGTAATGCTCATAACCAGTGTTGGAAATTTTATGCCGGGGTTTGTGCTACATTAAAGGTAGCCAATAATCTATTAGCAGGATTTGTGC